AGAGAGAGGGAGAGGGAGGGAGAGGGAAGAGGGGAGAGGGGAGAGACAGAGACACAGAGATTACAAGGCTCATATACTTGAATTATTGGCTAGATATTGAACTAAACCTGGATGGTAAGAGACTTTGAAGGGCAACAAGACAGACCATTGAGAGAATACATTACTGTTGAAAATTTTAGAAGTCATAGCTTAGGCAGTCATTCATTTGTTAGGAAAGGGGAAAGCTGAGAAAAATGTGGAAATCAATGAAAGGAGAAACCTTATGCACAGTGGGATGATGTTCCAACACTGAAAATTTATGCTTATTATGTAAATTATTTTCATGAAAGCATCCATATGTAATTATTTGTATGAAGAGTCTTGGATATAGCTTGATACTTTAAGTTGAATGTAATTTTGGGTGTAGTTGGCTTAGAAGTCTACCCCAAGTGAGTTAACCTCAATAGATGACATTTAAATATATTTTTTAAAATATTGCTAAGACATAAAAGAGTAAATAATAAATGCTAGAGACCAAACACAAAGGAAAAACTTTTAGTTGAGAGAGTTTTGGAGGAAAGATTCACGTGGGCAGTACATTTTTAAAAAATTAAATGTGAATTCATGAAAGAGTGACAAGGGAAAACAGGATATAGGAAATTCAACAATTACTGGAAAACAAAACAAAAAGCTGTGGCAACATTTTTAGAAAATACTTGCATAAAACATCATTATGTAGATCCTATCACTGCACATAATGACATCTGAGAAACTAGAGATGAGATGGTGGCTGTGCAGAAAGGACACTGTATGTTGTATTGTTAACATGCATCTTTGCTGTGCTCTGAATGCTTGTGTCCCCATCTGCACGTTGACACGGAATCATCTTGTGATGGTATTGGATACAGGTCCTTATCGAGTCACCATGGCTGTTAGTATTGTCCTGAGGCCCCAAAGCTCTGCTTGCTCCTTCCAGCACTTGAGGACACAGAAAGAGATATGTTTCTGAACCAAGATGTAGCAACCTCTGTGAGAAATATGTTTCTATGGGGTACAGACTGTCCAGCCTACGGTAATACAATCTTTGTCTCTCTCTCAAATTTTAAAATATTTCATTGGAGTAAATAAAAACTGCACAGTATGAAAAATCTTCTAAGCAACCACTTCCTTCACATGGTAATATATTTTCTCTACCTTGATTGTCCATGAGTGATTTTATCAGGCACTTACCTGGACTAGTATCTTTCTTTGTAGATAAACTCATGCCTAAAACAAATGCTAAAAAGCTAAAAAGCATTTGTTTTAGGCATACGATGGCATTATATACACATTATCCTCAAGCTCTATGTGTTGATCTTTATTTGTAATACTTTTTTCATATATTAATGAGTGGTCACTTGTCTGTTACTCCAATTTCTATAAAGAATCTTGTCATGTTTGCATCTTTGCCTGTGCCCTGTATCCTACAAAGGCATCTTTGTTCATTTTAGCCCTTATCCAAACTCTGTTTGACTCTGAGTTAGAATATTCATTTTGATGTCAGTCAGTAGTCTCTTTCCAAATGTTTCCTCTTCCTAATTTTCAATTTTTAATTTGGAGTGGTTTTATTATCCTCTAACCATTAACAAATAAATTGAGCAGAAATATGGTCTGAACAAATGTGATTTGAAAGTGCAACGTGCCCACAAGCTCCTGTGTTTGGACACCTGCTCCCTAGCTGGGGGTGCTCTTCTGGAAGGCTGTGGAATCTTTAGGAGGTGGAGGCTCACTGGGTTATATGAGTCCCTTAGAGTGGCTCTTGAGGTTGCATGGCCCAACC